CCAGAAGAGGGCCACGAAGATGATCAGAGGGCTGGAGCATCTCTCCTATGAGGACAGGCTGAGAGAGTTGGGGTTATTCAGCCTGGAGAAGAGAAAGCTCCAGGGAGACCTTACAGCAGCCTCCCAGTACCTGAAGGGGGGCTACCAGAAAGCTGGAGAGGGACTTTTTACAAGGGCCTGTAGTGATAGGACAAGGGGTAATGGCTTTCAACTGAAAGAGGGGAGATTTAGACTAGGTATGAGGAAGAAATTCTTCACTATGAGGGTGGTGAGGCACTGGCACAGGTTGCCCAGAGAAGTTGTGGATGCCCCATCCCTGGAAGCATTCAAGGCCAGGTTGGATGGGGCCTTGAGCAACCTGGTCTAGTGGAAGGTGTCCCTGCCCACGGCAGGGGGGTTGGAACTAGATGATCTTTAAGGTCCCTTCCAACCCAAACTGTTCTATGATTCTATGAAAGCAAAGACCATATAGGGTTGTTCCCACAGAATTTAATTTACCTGACAATAACTGATTTGAATGTGTTGCTTTTCGAATTTTGCCAAGTCACAAGTAGGACACCTGATTTTACCTTTAAATGCTAGAGACAGCTGTGTAGAACTGTACTGAATACTGCTAATATTGATCCATTCAGATTGTTTCTGTCCTGCCTCTGTACATCCAAATCACAGTCTGAGAGGATTAAATTGTAGTGCAGCATTGGAACGGGCTGTTCAGAAAGCAGCCTCAGAGATGGTTGTCCTTAAAAAAAAAATGTTCCAAGACTTGGCTAGACAAAGCCATGGCTGATCTGATCTTGATCTGATCTTGGTGCTGGCCTTCTTCCTGTGGGAGGTGGGACTAGAGACATTCACAGCTCCCCTATGACCAACAGTTCTATGATTCCTCTCAAATTGGTTTTTGCTTTTTTTAATTTTCTTTTTCCTCCTTGTACTTCTTTCATCTTCTTCATGTTGCTTTGAATGCTCTTAAATACTACTTAATGCATGTTTTGATTATTCACTGGTTTTCAATACATCATTCTGTTGTCATTTGCTTTTCCATCCCCTGTTTCATCTGACTAACATTGGAAGGATGTCCACTTCAAGAGACATTCCCCTTGTACACCTCTACTTTCTGTGCAATCCTAGTGTCTCTGTCCTTTTCTCTCCTCGGTCTGTCCTTTGTCACTGAAAGCCTGCCTCTTTTTGCTTGGCTGGTGGTTATCGTAGTGTTCATAAAACCACAGTCAAGAGCAAAGATGTAGATTCACCATCCTCTGTTTAGCGTCTCACCTTTAACTATCCTTATTTTCTGACAACTGTCTTGCCATCCTTTCAAAGGCTGAAACACTGAATTAAAAAACGTTTCTCTTCCCCCCTTTTCAGGTATTTCTTACAGAATTCTACCTACCACATAAACCTATGACTTGGGTGATACTCAATTTAGTTTTTCTCCTTCACATCATATCCCATTTTTTTGTTTTCCATTAAATTATCTAAACTTCTGTATTTACTATCCCAAAAAATGACACTTGTCCTTATCTTAAAGGTTCAACTGTTGGTTTTTTTTCCCAAATCAATTAAAAAAAAAAAGAAGGCCCCAGAAAACAACCTCAGAATGAATCTCCCTTTCCAACCTTTTAGTATATATTCTATTCCAGTTCTGAAGAACTGAGATGAAAAAAAAAAGCAAAAATATTGATTTAATGTGAACTTTGAAAATATCTGTAAGCCCACAGATCTCTAGCGGAGGACTGACACTGACTGCTGCATGTATCATCCTTCCTTTACTCCTGGCTCTTCAGAAGAAATACTCCATCCTCCAGGATTTTGGGATCCTTCTCAATTTTTCAATGATAACTTAGGAAAAAAAAAATCTCTGTTGGATATAAAATTATGGAATATACTACATTTCTTCCCTGAAGCATCTGGTCACTGTCAGAGGTTATCCCATTACCCAGCCATGCCAATGTCTACCTTTCTTATATTTTGGTCTCTTAGTCTGCAGAAATACTTGGCTTTGAACTTCAGATAGCCTACACAGGGGCTAATAGCGCTATCTTCAGCCCCATTTATTATTTAAACAGACCTTGATTTAGCTGAAAAAATGCCCGACCTACCATCTGGCTACAGCCGAGTCAATGACTGTGCCTGGATCCCAGGACCCCCCCCCCGACAATCATTAGCATCTATCAGCTAACAACAATGCTGTATAGCTGAATGTCTATCTAAAACCTTAACTGCCGAGGGCTAGCAGAGTCGAGATTTGCGTTAAGTGAGGATTACAGCTAAACTAAACTTGTTTAGTTGAATATATCCTAAAAAAAGACTTTTAAAAAATTGTATTCTAATCGAAGCCTTGAGGCTAAAGATAGCAGCAGTCAGGCTGGAATTAAGCACACACGTTTAGGGTTTATTTAATGAGTTTACAAATTCATAAGGAACTACTTCAGTGGACTGCTGAGGCCAGTATCTGTGATCTGGTCAAGCTGGCACTGGGGACTTCTAACCATTTGCAAGGTAGAGAAATGTAAATTATAATCCAAAAGGAGTCCAAATAGTTAATTCTGTATTCCTTTTATTGTTTCTACATGAGTAAGTACAGCAGAATTGTAAGAGTAGTTCAATATTCCAGTACAGGCATTCCAACCCTTGCTTCTTGATTTTTCTGGAACATCTCAGGAAAGTCAGAAGTCAGTTAGAAGGTTATTATTAGTTGGAAGGCAACATGTATGAGAATGAAATAGAAGAAAATTTCTCTTAATTCTGGCCAAAAGGTTGAGTTTTGAAGAAAAGATCTTATAATCATCCAGTCCTTGCCTCCAGACTTTGTGTCCTTTTCTGGCTAGATATAAATCTGTACCAACAGTCTGTATGTCTGTTGAGTGACGGGTATAATTTGATAAGCTACTAAGAAAAGCTTATAATACCATTTAGTTAAGAAATATTTTCTATATAACTTAAAAAACCTCCCATATTGGAGTTAGCATAACCTTTCATCACATTTAACTCTTGAAATGCAGAGAGGCGTCTTATTTGGAGCATCAAGAATTTCAAACACAGAACAAAAAAATTTGTAAGGAAAAACTGGGAGAAGTAGAAGGAAAAGGACTTCTGTATCTTGGATTAGCTGTTGTACTAAATTAAACACTAATGAAGCTCTCTGCCACACTCCAACCTGATACTTTTTACTGTGAAAATGGGAACTGTGCTTTTAGCGTGTTCCAACTGAGCCTGCTTTGAGGAGGAGACTGTACCAGATGACCTGCAGAGGTTCCTTCTCATAATTATTCAATGATCTCGAGGAACATGATTGAAAGCGTCTCACCTTCTAACAGGCACAAGATTGAAAGTGTCTTGTCCTCCAACAGGCATCCTGATTTGATTTTTTTTCCACACAGAAAGGAAAAAAAAGGACAATCTGTAGAATTGCACTCCCACTTGCAGTACTTTGGTTTAGGATTATCATCTCCATTGTTTGCATACAAAACTTTCCCGTTACAACAACGCTGCTATATTGAGTAATGCAATATATCCTACGCCACAGAACTACAGATATTTCCCATTCAGGTGGCGCCTTCCTTCCACGTACAAAGATACCCAGACTGGCCTTTAACAATAGCAACGCATTGTCTGCGGTAAGGTAGTGGGCCTCCCGGGCAGCATGTGGGTGTGGGAAGAGGCGAGCAGCCCCGACTGCAGGGCGATCAGGCAGAGGAAGCCGCTGGGCTGCGCCTGCAATCGGTGCGTTGCCCCTTTAATTGTGTCCCCAGCCCTCGGGCGTCTCTGTCCAACGCCCACGTCAGCAAATACCTTTTGTTTCTCTCACGTTCGGGCTTCCAGGGCTCGGGGCTGCGGGACCAGCGCGTCGCCTTCAGCCACCGCGAGCCCCGACGCGGGGCCGGGGACCCCGCATCCACCGCCCGCTCCTCTCGGCTCGGCGGCAGCCGCCCGCAGCACCCAGCCGGTAAGTGGCGGCTCTAGCACGCCGGCAGGCCAGACAGGGCGTTGGGATTTGGGGGCGGAAACGGCCCCGCAGCGAGCCTTGCTGCGAGGGGCAGCGAGGGACGGCTC